GAGGACATATTGGGTTTTTTTTTTTCCTGAGGGAAGGGCAAGAGTGTGGAAGCTTTCTTTGAGACCCAAAAGAAAGGGAAATGCATGAGAGGCTGAGGTGTTCTCCTCAGTGTGGGGCAGCATCACAGTGTCTATAGATCGCAGGATAAAGCTCAGGTTCAGTGTGTCACTCCTCAGCTCTTCTTGATCGCTTGCACAGCTTTGCTGCTGCACTGAAATCCCCAAAGCACACTAAAAGTATCTCCAGCTTGCAGGTCTCTGTCATTTGAGAAGATGGCTCACAAGCTCTGTTTGACTCAAGGCATTACTGTAGGTATAAAATTACAATAACACTAAGCAGAGGAAAAAAGTGATCTATTTCATTACCTGCCTCTTAAAATATAAATATTAACAGGGTTTTTTTTTTACCTCCACAGGTAGTCATTTCACAGTTCCTAGGTTTTGTTTCATAGTTTTCAAACATTTAGCTTAATTTTTCCAAATTGGATCTAAAATTTTGAGTATATCTCATTGGTATAGTTACTGCCAAATGTCACCTGCTCAATGCCAAGTAAGAAAAAAATGTATACCCATTCTAATTCTCATTATTCTTTTAGCTGTGTATGCAGTATGAAAATCCACACAGCCATGCAACCACTGGGGTACAGATGTCTGATGAGGACAAATCTAAAGATCCTGAGTTTGCTTTCCTGTTCTGTTTTCTGTGCATGCTATCATACTGTAATAAAATTTTGCTAATTAATGATGCTTTCACACTTAATACCAGTCCTGCTTCTGTCCTGTACCTGGTGTACGTGCTGCCACAATAGTTCCGGACTGAAAAACTGCAATTCCAGTTGGACACATATTAGCAACATCCTGGGTCTGCAAGTCCCTATTTTCAATGACTCAAAACTTGTCAGTATTACAAATATTAAAACTTTATTAATTATAAATTAACAGTTTATTACACATGTTAACATCATCTCCACGTATAAAGTGCACAGTATAAGGCATACAGTTCCCCTTCTCTTTTTTTTTGAGCATAAGCACGAGGATACATCTACCTTCATTCTACATTTAAGAAGGCACAAAGTACCACCAGAGAGAGATTGCATTGTCTCTACTTATGCATTTTTCCTCCCCTAGTGTCGTTAAAACTTGCAATCTTCCTGCCTCCAGATCTTATCCAGTGGGACACTGGAAGAATTTCCATTTTTTTCGGTGATGTTGCATTTTTTTAAATTAGCCAACATTGTCTGAGCAGGACATTATCTTTGTATTGTGTGCACTTTCTGATTCCAAATTAAAATAAGCATTGCAAAAAAGGTCTTCAATAAACTGAAAACATTCATTTGTGTAAGAAAAAGAATTCCCCCACTGAAAGTTTATGCATAATGAAGGTAAAAATGAAGGTAAAAAAAGCTAGCCCAGGATGGTTTATGCATCACTCTTTATGATTATATTATTTGTCTTGATTCTAGTAGGCATTTGACAAGCCTAGAATATAAAAGAAAGTCAGGGCTAGTATGTTAGAACTAGTGGATTTCAATTGTTTTAGTTTACTAATGCTTATATACATTTAACAAATATGAAAATATTTTCCACCCAAAAGGTCTGCCTTCACTAACACAGGCAAGAAAATATTTTTAAAAAATCTGTTTCACAAGTTGTATGTCTATTTCATAGACCCTATATATACTTAACTACAGTGGAAATTATTGGGAAAGGAATTTGCAGTATCATTAACAACGGTTTCAAGAAATTGAACAAGTATGAGAAAATAACCATAATGAAAGAGCATAAGAGCAGAAATTGAAGACACCACAGAATTTTGAAAGCCAAATTGGGTTTGGTACAGCTGTGTTACAGCTCCTACAGGCTGTGAACTGGCTGTGTCACAGCTCAGCACGTTGCTGTTGTCACCATACAGCACACATGGGTCAAGGTGACAGCTCTCTGCCATAGGAGCTCATTTCACTGACAGCTGCAGTGGACAGGAAAGGTAGTAGTGATAGAAATACTTAATGGTTTCTGTCAAGGCAGATGCTTTCATGCAGGGGACATGCACTTTTTTCGGTATAGCAGTCTTGTTAAACTATATATTATCTCCAATCTTGTTAGAAAACACAGATTTACAGCTGCTTATCTCAGAGGTGAGAGACATTTAAAAATATTGAAAACTAGTGGCAAAAGTCTCCAGATTCACCTCCTCGGACTTTAGACACTAAGCAGCCTGATTTCCAAAATCAAAAATTAGCACATCTACTTAAGTGCCTACATTCTTGGGGTGCTCAGCAAATTCCAAAGTTCCCAAAAGCCGTACTCGATACCCATCAGGTTTCACTCAGCCTGAGTGAGTGAGCAAACACCACTGGAGTGGATGGAAAGACACCACTGTGTTTTGAATCAAGTTTATCAACTGCAGAAGCAGCTGCAGTTTGAGCCGCATGTGCAAATCAGATCACCAGATGTCTTGGCACCTGTATAAGCCCTTAGAAAATGTTTGTGAACAATAGTGATAATATCTGGGTTTTGAGAATGAGCCTCTTCCCCACAGTCATCCATTTTGGATGTCACCTGTTTTTCATATAAGAGGTTATTAAAAAGCCACCAAAAGCAAGAATTATGTCACAAGGTGTGTTTTATCAAAATTATAACAAAATTCTTCTACACTGGTGACCTGGAAAATCATACTATATTCTCCTAGAAACAAATCATCTGCAAAGAAAGCAGAATTTCAAGTTCTTAAACAATTTACTACTTCAGCTGGCAACACATGTGACAGTGGAAATCCTGATGATAATTTATCTTTTTCAGTCCAGAAAGCAGTGAAAGTCAGGCCCCAGACATGTTTCCATCATCCACTCCATGGGGCAAAAAGAACTCACCACATCTGCTGAGGGAGTGTAATGCTATGCAGGTCCTCCTTTGTATGATTATTAAAAGTACCATATAAACCTCTTTATTCCCAAGCCCCAATTAGTGAAGGAGCTTTTCAGTATTGTCTCCACACAGCAGAATATTTGCAGCTGCTTCAAGACTCCCATTTAGAGTCCAGATGTCCCCAGCAATCATGCTGAATAAAGTGCAGTTGAATTTCTACAGTTTTGGGTCTTGTTTTTTGGGATGTTTGGTGGACGAAGCTTGAGACTGGTCTGTAGAAGCCAGGACAGCTCAGCTGGGAGAGCTTTCAGAGAAACTGACTTGCCTAGGAGAACATCCTCATTCTCTTTGGAAATATAGTTGTTGGGCTGAGTTGTCCCTAATGGCAGGAAACCTGCAAGACAGGCTTTGCTCATGCCTTCTCAGACCAGATGATATGCTCCAGAAATGCACCTAAAACAGTTCAACCATTAATGTACATTCAGTCCAGGGGCCAGACTACAGCTCATCTGAACTAAAGTTGCCCCAAAACATGCAACAAATGAAGAATTCATATAGAATAAACCCCTGCACTTATGCCTTAAAACAAATTTTGGCAAGCAGGAGAGAGCAGTGGTCTCCTTTTCATACAGGCATATCTGACTTTCACATGGCTTATGACAAAGGTAAGTATAATGCTGCACACCATGAAGAAGTATAAGGGACTCTATAGTCCCATAGAAAATCCTAATTCAGTGTTTCAGATGAACCAGGGAACTTTATTATGGCTGTTTGTGATACCACTTTGAATAAAGATAATTTTTGGTAGACATTTATGGGCAGGATATTTTTTTTTCAAGTGCTCTACCCAAGCCACACCAACTATAACTGAACAAAACTCTTTCCAATAGCAATGCTAAGGTACAATCAAGTTGAGCTTGGAGGTCACATTTTGCAGCAACTGAATTACTGAACGATGAGGAAATGAAATATATGTAATACTCCTCAAAGAAAAATGAAAATCTTTATTATATTGTTATGAAACATCAGAAAATAATTATTTTCATAACCTTGTACTGTCATGGTTATAGAAAGCAGATGTGAAAGACTCCCATACTAATCTCTCAAGAAGCATGTTGTGGTCCTTCTCCAAGAGCAACAAATTTGCATAGAAAACTGCATTGTTAAAAGTGTTCAAAATCATCACTAAAATGTGTGTCACAAACTATCTATATCCATATTCCTTCATTTTTCAAATATCGTGGCATAATTCAGTGACCAAAAGTGTCACCAAAAGTCTGCCCTTTATCAGGAATAGGTCTGCATGACGCTGAAGTAGCCTAAAAAGCATCCAATATGTATCCCAAGGTCACCGCACGCAGGATGTGTAGCGTACAGATGAGGCGGGTTGAATCCTAAAGGGATGAATGTTATTTCTGCTGAGCTACAGTGCAGTGAAACAGAGCGGCCCCGCACCGGCAAAACCATAAATTGTTCACAGGTGCACAGGGCTCCGATCAGTCACCGCGTAATATTGCTCATGACAGGGGAGGTTACATTAGAGCATCCATTTCAAGAGTCTTAAAATCAATCAATCAATCAATCAATCAATCAATCAATCCACCTCGTTCTAAACGCAAGATGAATTACTTTGGTCGAAAACCCACAGCTAAAAATCTGAGGCGGTCTGCCGCTCGGGGCGCGGCGGGGCCGCTGCGGGGCAGCTGCGGGAGCGGGGAGCGCTCCGAAGGGCGGGCGCCACCGCCGGGCCCCGCAACGGGACAGAGCGCTACCTGCACCGAAACGTGCCGTGTCTTTCGAGTTTGCCATTTCCGTGTCGCGTTATGGCTAACACCCCATCGCCGCGCGTTTTCACGCAGAGGTGCCCCCTGCAATTATTCACGGGCTCTTGACGGGAAGCCCCCGCTCCAGCGGGATGAGAGGGGAAGGAGGAGGGGAGGGGGGCGCACCCGGCAGTGGCTGCCCCTCGCTCACGGCAGCCCGGAGCTCTCAGCCCCGCCGTGCCCCGCCAGGCGCGGGGCTCGGCCGCCCTCAGCGCTCCCGCAGCACCTGTTGCGGCGGGGCCGGGCCGGGCCGGGCCGGCCGAGGTGGGCAGGGGGCGCCCCGGGGGCCGCGGCGCTCGGCGCATGCGCCCCCCCCGTGGGGAATTGTTTCTCCTCGCCGAGTTCCATCGCCTGCCGCGTCCCCCCTGAGCTGTCGCCGGGATGGGGGCGGCGGCCGGGCGGGCCGCACCGCGGGAGCTGCTGCTGCCGCTGGCGCTGGCCGTGGCGTGCGCGGCGCGCAGGTGAGCGCCGCCGGCATGCGGAGGGAGGGAGGCGGGCGCGGGACGCCCCGGCGGCCACCCTAACCCAGCCTGTGCTCCTTCCCGCAGCGCCGACGGGCCCAGCAACATGTCCTACGTGAAAGAGACGGTGGACAGGCTGCTCCAGGGCTACGACATCCGCCTCCGTCCCGACTTCGGAGGTGAGGCGCCCGCGCTCCCCCGACCCGCGCCCCGGCCCCCCGCAGGTGCGCTAACGCCGCCTCCCGCTCCCCCCGCAGGTCCGCCCGTGGACGTGGGCATGCGGATAGAGATCGCCAGCATCGACGTGGTCTCGGAAGTCAACATGGTGAGTGACCCGCGGGCCGGGGCGGTGGAGCCCGGGCGCTGTCCCGCCGGGGCGGGGGCAGCCGGAGCCCCGGGGCCGGGAGCCCGGCTACCTACAGAGCCACGGCAGGTGCTACAAAATAACCAAGGATGTTACAGTTGCTAGGAAAAGTTATTTTGCATTTTTGACATAACGTTGGCACACCTGCGGTGGCACTTCAGGAGAGCCCTTGGTCAGAATACTGGCTGCAGGTTTGAGGTTCTGGGTCCCGCCTTGCCCTGGTTTGCCCTTTGCGTAGTCAACAGCTGTCTTCGGAAATGTTGGAGTTTCTTGAGCTGTAGCAGCGATGGCCAGATGTGCATGTTTTCGTGTTAAATTATTCAAAGTGACAGTTAGACGCTTCACTTTGCAAGCTAGTGGCCTTGAGTAAAAAGGTGCAAAGGAAAAATAAAAAGGAGCTTCTAGAAAACACTCTTGTAGAAGGGAAGGAATAACGACGTTGCAGAATAAGTACAAAGGATGTTTCCAGCTATGAAAATCAGAAAAGTCTTGTAGCTACAGGTGTGAAACATACTACGTTTGATTTCAGATCTATTGCAAGAAGGAATGCTAATAGGCATGCAGGCTTAAAGAGCAAACGTCTCTGTTTAGTGCCTGCCTCGTTTGACAGCCCTTTCCCAGAAGAAAACGAAAAATCAGTTGTAAATTTGAACATTATACAAACTCATGTTGAATTAGTCTGCACCATGGGCATTTTGCTCTCAGTCTCTTATGTTTGATCTCATATGAAAATCTTTCTCATATGAAAATGCTTTCTGTACATAGGGGAATACCTGCTTAGTTAAAAGAAGCTAGAAATCTTACATTTCCATCCTGATCAGCAGTTTATTATATTGGGTGATATTTGCCCATGCAAAGTAATTTACTCAAAAGTGGGAATTTCCTCCTTGATGTATTAGTTAATAGCTGTCATTAAAGCAGTCTCTTCAGGGATTGTTTTCATTTTCATATTTAGTTTTTTTCTGTTATTTGTTATATATACACAGCTTATGTTTGTTTGTAACTGTAATATTTGTTTATGAATATGCATGGAGAATGAGGAGGCAAGGAGAGTTGTCACATAGTGTTTAGCACATGAGGTTCTGCAGACTGCTAATGCCACTCAGAGAACATTTTACAAGTTTCAACTCCTGGAGTTCTTGTTGCTGTATTGTACTTTCAGGAAGGAACATGGTACAGACAGTACCATGGTACAGATGAGGCAGAGGAATCAGAACACAGACCTTATCAAAATTGTCAAAGAACAAATATACTCCAATTCCAAACTACCTCTACCACCCTGTAATGGGATTGCTGCTTCTACAAAGCAGTACACCTGGGAAAAACCAAACAGCAAAAAAAACCTCTCCTGAAAGGTCCAGAATTTGTAAAGTCTCAACACCTGAAATATTGTTAATCTGTGAATGTGTCAGTTTCCAATGGCAATCTCACAGAGCATTAGTTGCATCAGTTCACAGCATTTCTTAGTTGCATGCTGGATCCATCAAAGCTTTCTTCTCCATTCTAACACTTGCACAGCCCCTGGAAAACTGTAATTTGAACCTTCTGATTTTTGATTAGGGGAAGTTACATGCCAGATGGATTCTTTGAGTAATCTCTATGTGCTAGGGGGGCAGCTTGATTAAAAGTGGTCAGAAAGTAGGAAAATGTTTTCATTTCATAAAATGCTGCATATCACAGCAGAAGGAATCAACCATTCCCAGTTATAGCCAATAACCCATTACTTAAGGCATAACACACAAAAAACGGTCTACATTCTGAATCAATCTGAAAGACCTTGCCCATATCACAAGTGCTACCCGTACATACCCACTCACGTGCAGAGTGTTCTTTGTTGTAAGGTCTTTATTGTGTTGCTAGACACTGTCTGCCTGGTTTTGGACAATGACCAGTTTATTTCATCCATCATTACAAAAATGAGGGAATCAATATCTTGGCTTAAGTAAAGTCTTTCTACCTAGTAAAATAATGCATTATTCTAGTACTTTTTTTTTCTGAGAAATCACAACTTTGAGATGCTTAATGTTGCAGTCACAGGTGAATTGTTTACCTTCTCTCCTTTTAAACTGTTGTCTTATAGATTTTTCTATTTTTAATTTGTTTAGTAAGAGCTACCATTCTGTGGCTTCAGATCCAGAAATGTTTTTCAGAAGATCCTAATTTATGGCTTCTTTTGGCTGTAGGGCAGTTTTCTTACTGAAGGAAACCAGTAACATGAGTGGGAAAGCAAGACCCTCATCACGTGAGCTCCTCTGGCAAGAGAGTCTGGTTGGATTCCACCAGAATTCAGTCAGTCTCACCTTAGCAGTATTGGAAGGAGTTGTCTTATCCCTTGGCTTTCCTCAGGAACATGAAACCTTATACCGAGAATGATAGAGACAGCTACTCCAAATCATGGTACCCACAGGGTTAAATTTTGTATTCCAGTCTCAATGCCTAAATAAGAGTAAAGATTAATATATATATATAGGCTATGAAGGAGATGTTCTTCTCCTTTGGTGTGTTAGCTGAGACTTTGTCATGGCTGTAGGCTGTCTGCCAAGTGAACAGGCTGATTTGTATGTCCAAATAAATCCAGTCCTCAGGTAAAAAGTTGAAATATAGACAACAGAATTATTTTGAATTCTCTGAACATCAGTAGTAATAACTATCTGTTCAAGCAGCTTGTCTGGTTGTAGTGGCTTCTTCTAATACACTAAACTATTGTGAAATACTTTAGTAATACTTAACTAATGAATTGAGACTTGCACAGTCTTGAAGTCAACTGTTCTGTTATTTCCCCCTGAATACTTGGTCCTCATCTGTTCAGCTCTTTAAACATCATTGATTTATGTCTGCTTGGTAGTTCAATAATACTGTGGTGAGCTGCCATAGCAACTTTTGCAAAAGGATTATTTGAAGTGTTTGTTCTTATGACTCTCCCATTTGACATCAGATATGTTGTCTTATGTTGAGTTTTACAGGAAGTAACCTGAAGAGCTTGCCAAACAACGAACAAGCAAGAGAAGTAGAATATAAAAGTCCCAGGGACCACTGCCGACTTTCTCCCTAAAATACTTGAAGTTTTAGTGTTTCCATCAGATTTGCACATTCTTGCTACAGTAATTGGAAGCATTCTCTTCCAAAGGTACGAGGTGACCCTTCCCTCTGTCTCAGTTAATGACTACTCGGCTAACTTTCATCCATGACAGAATTCCCTTAGAAGTATATCAGACATATACATTAATATAAAGATTTCATTAGGAACCACGCTATGACTAAATCTATTACGCTGCTGTGATGCCTGGTTTACTCTGAAACCTTTACGTGGTTAACAGAAGGTGCTGCTTGTACATCAAGAATAAACATGGATAGCCTGATTGATGGTAGTCCTGCCAAGCTTCATGGTATGCAAATAAAGAATATATTGGTGTATCTACTAGGAAACAGTCAAGAAGTAGCTAGACTCTAAAAAAAAAAAATCACATGGTTCATAACTTAATTTTCTCTAAAATGTATTTCTTACTGAAGAAAAGGTGTTAAAACCTTTGTAATAGGCAAAATATAGATGTACATATTTTAAAGTTTTAAAAAAATCATATGATAAATAACTTATTTTAGAGCAGATAAAGAGACATCAAGAAGCAGAAAAAAAAAGCGCCCTTTATTTTATATTGGGAACACTATTCCTGACCTACCATACTGATTTTACACTGATGATGATGTACTTTCTGTGATCGCAGGATGAAGTTTTCATGTCCTAGGAAGACAAGGTTAAAGAAAACACGGAAAGAATGTTCAGTTCTCTAGCTTCTCTACACTTGTACTTAAGGCTCTTACATTTAAAACTGGTTAACACACTCCAGAGACAGAACTTCCCTTAACCTTAATAAACATATATATGTGTGTATATATATATATGTATATATATATACAAGCAGAAGTTTTTCAGATTTGCCTGTAAATCCAGAGCAAGGACATGGAATCCTCCAGGGCCTAGAAGAGCAGAAGGCCTTCACCTTACTGTAGAGCTGATGCCAGCCAGGCTACTGTGGGGTGTGGCCATTTCCCACAGTGTGGTTCTCAACTGATAGATATTTAGTCAAGATAAGCTAAATCTGTGGGTTTAAACACTGGGCTGAGCTGGGTAACCAAGGCACTGAAAGTTTGACCATTAATCCTGGCAGGCCAGTGCTCGTGCAGTAGAACCCAGTTTTAAGAATGGTAGAAAGATTTTCACGTATGGATGCAGGTTATCTATCTTAAGACAAGTTTTGCAAATTGAGAAAGGCTAAGTTTATAGGCACAGCCAGAGTTTCACAGGTCTTGTTCTTTCTCCCTGTCTTGATTAAGTATCTTGAGAATTGGCATGGTGGCCATTGTGAATCTCAGTGTAGGAAACAAACTCTACAATAGGGAACCAAATTGGCATTATGAACTCCATCTCATGCCTCTTTGAATCAGAGCATCCAAGTCTCATTGTTTGTGATCTTAAGTCTGGTTCATATAGAACTAATAAGTCAAAACCTCCTTCAGTTCGTTCAGCCAATGTGGCAGCACAAGTGATCAGAATAGTCACACTGACAATAAATATATTTACCTGAAGATGTTCATACAGATTAAACTGATTTTTTTTTTTAAGACTTAAAGGTCTGTAATTACTAATTAAAAATTGCATAGCTCTAGGGCAAAAGAAGGAAGTAGTACTTTTCTGCTATATAGCATCTATCCTAAAGAACATGAAGGACATGCCAAAGCACTTTTAAATGAATATTAATAAGAATATTCAGCAAATGGTTGTTATTTTTTTTTCAGCAAATATGGAAAAACTAACCACATAATAATACATAGAGGTCAGATCATTTCATCGCTGCCTATTCCAAACAGGAGTAATTATATTAAAGAGTGAAACATGGAATGAATGTAGAAATTGGCAGCCTGAGGTTAAATGATTGGGTCACTGTTACTGGAAGTTTTGTTTG